AGTGAAGGTGTTCAGCATTGCTCAGAAATGAAAGGTTTCTCCGAGAGAAATGGTTTCCGACAGAACTACTGTCATATATGAAATCAGGCACATACTGAAGTAACTTCTTCAATAATGGCCTACATGTGAACTTGAAAGTTTTATTGCTATTTTTCTAAGTCAAAACAGAAAAAGGCATATGTATTTCTAAGTAACTGAGTACCCTCTTCAAAATGTGAACTTCCATATTCTTACCTAATTTGTTAAACCAAATAATACCTTACATCAAATATTACAATTTTGCAAGTGTATCATACTGAAAGTGGTACTCCGTAGACTGAAACAGACTGAAACTATTGAGCAAGACCCATGAAATGCCTGTATTCAACTTTTCACATAAAAAAATATATTTTGTTTTACAACACTAACAGTTAAGGCCACAGAACTCCAGCAAGATGCTGATAAGCATATCAATTGCAACTATTAAAATTACCAATAAATATCAAGAAAATGGTCTGCATGTTTAAAATCACAGCAATCAAATCCATCAAAAAAGCAACCATCAACATCTCTAGTGAATCGTAACCGCTTTCAAGTAAAAATTGCACTATGTGCTTTAAGCCTGTCACAGTCTTATGTACTATAACAGTGTTAGAGTAATATACAAGTAGAAGATCTCATCCTCCTGTCCTGGTTAGTCACAGTTTCCCTGGGATTCTCCAATGTATGATTCTGGTTTTCATCTTTACTGTTTTCACCAGATAAATCTTCCTTTTCTTTTTCTTGTTCACTCTGTAATGGCTTTCCAGATCTATCCTCCTTTCCGCTACATACATTCTTCTGGCCTGTCAGTGGCTTTCGCTTGAACAGGGAAAACTGAAGAAAAAAAACAGGTCGATAATACGCCCAAAACAGTTAGCTGTGAAATTCAAGGTTGAAAAAACCACAAAGCCTTTGTATATACCAAGTTCAATTTAGGTCGCAAATTTCTCCTTGGTAAAATAAACCATTTTTCAAAACAAAAAAACCTATTTTAAAAATTTTAATAAAAATCATTCTGCTGCAATATTTGAAATGTGTCAAAATAGCACAAATGAATCAGAGAAGTTAAAGCTATTGCATTTTGTCAAATTACACACTGTACAGTTTGTACAAAGTACTGCAAGTGGTGTGAAATTATCTGCGTGTCTTTCAAACGAGAGTCTGAGGCAAGGCCCAAACATACAGGCCCAGATCTGCAAAGCCCCAGAGCAGCGAGCGCTTAATATGCTTCATTATAAACGTGTGTAGTCCCATTAAAGTTAGTGACAATGTGGTTTTATGTCAGTGAGACTACACATGTGCTTGAGGTTAATCGGTGCTTAAGGTCTTTGTTCAACAGGAAAGCACGGCAGCAGTCTCTGCAGAAGCCTTTGGATCCTAAACCTGTAAGAAATTCCACATAAGGTACTCCTCAACATGCATATAAATCTATGTAAACCCACTCTTTAAATCAGTGCATGTTGGAAATAGATACAAGGTCAACTAGCTCAGCTGCTGCTTTCAGAGAGAAATACAGTGGAAAAATTTTTAGATAACGTCTTACAAGAGTCCTAAGTTTTCACCTCACCAAAATCTGATGTGATTAACAACTTGTCTTTTATGGGCATGCTATATGCGAAAAGGTGATAATGGGCTTTATCTCATTTCTACTGACAGAAGTACTATTTATTTTCACAGAACAATTATTGGGATGACTTGAGGTTATTTTATCACAAAACAAAATCAAATCTTAAACAGAAGGAACAGGTTGCTCAGCAGTTTGTTTATGGAGATCAGGTAAATTGGGGTGTTTGCCTCAGCTTGGCAACTGCCCACTGCCTTCTTGGTCAGTAAAAGCAGAAGGAAAAATCAGGCCACGTACCTTTTTTTTCCCAATCATTCCTCCAGTTATTTGGTCATCAGTGCTCTCTGAAGAATTGTTCACAGTGTGATTGTCAGTGCTTTCTTTCTCTACAATAATATAAACCTTTATGTTAACTTCCTTCCCATTCTTGCAAATTAAGAGCAGAAAAAAAGTCACAAAATAAAATGGGGATCTTAAAAAAAAGCAATCAGAATATTCAGTTCAACTTGATGCCCAGCCTGACAAGGATGCTTTTTTTTTACTTTTAAAATCTCTCCATATAACACCCTTGTACGATTCTCTAGATGCTCGATTTTCAAGAACAGAACACTTAGGGCAGTGACATTATATAAAATGTTTTGATTTGACACTTGTAGTTTCCTCTTTCTGACAGAAGACAATGTCTTGCACACTGATTTTGAAAGTGTATTCTAATTTGGAAAAGCTGGCTCCTAGGGCAGGAGTTATAGTTCAGCATGAATTTTATTCCATAGAAACAATTCTGGGAAAGAAAGAACTTTCCATCTGAGTTGATGTTCCTGTGTTTAAATTTTCCTATACTCCCTGTATGAATGATACAAATTTAGAACTTAGTATCAGAACTTCCAGATCACTGGACGATGGAAATATATTTAAGCATCCATGCTATTCTGGACAAGCTATTTCCATTATACTATTGAAAATAAACAGCAAAGCTTCTTCATTATTAAGGCAGTGGTCTTTTTTAATACCACACGTATTATTTTCTTTCAAAAGAACAATTATAGATTATTTTAGAATTTCTAAAATAAAAGAAGTATTTTTGACTTGTCTTGCATATAGGGCACCCAACTTCACGCTCCCAGCTTTTCTAAAGGAATATATAGTTCACTCAAACTGCCATCAAAACCACGAGCAACATCTAGACTTACATCTTCAGCATCTCTGAACAGTGTTCAGTAATTACCACATTCACCTCTCAAGAACTGCTTTACCAACTACTAACAATAACTGTATTGTTCAATGTTTTTATAATAAAGATTGTTTTATCTTTTGAAATGTTTTATTTTTTTTTTTAGAATGTCCATATGGTCCAGTTCCTAGGAACTGTATTCTTACCCTGCTGAATGATGGTCTCTTTCTGAGTAGTCTCTTCTGTCTATAGAGAGACAAAACAATGAAATTTCAACGTTCAAACTTGTTAAAAAAAAATTAACTATTAACACTCGCATATTTGTTCCTCCCTCTACCAAAACCACCCCAAACAACTTTGCCTTTCCAAGATAGCCACACATACATTCAAACTAATGTAAATTATAGAACCAAATTATTTCAGAGACCAGTAACTTAATAGGAGTCAATGCTTTTACCTCTACAGTTTCCACTGTGCTATCACTGGTTTTCTCTCCCTCAGGTGTTTTACTGTGTTTCTCTTTGTCATATCTTCCCTCTGCTTCCTCTTCTTTCTCTGTTCCTTCCCCTCCTCCTCCTGCTTCTTCCCCTTCTTCTTCTTTTTCTTCTTCTTCTGTTTCATCTTCTTCTTCTTCTTCTTCTTCATCATCATCTGTCTCTTCATCCCCAGACAAGTTTTGTTCCTTTGACAAAATGGCCAAAACATAATTTTGAAACTCATGCTGCACAATGATACCATGGTCCTCATCCTACACCAGTTCATCATACATCATAGTCTGGCTAAGAACAAGAAAACTCAGAAGAAAATGTTCCAGGTAGACAGAGTAAGGACAAAGACAGGAGCCCTCATTCAAGGTTTGCTAATTTGAATAAATGTTAAAAAACCAGACCTCCAGTGAACACTAGGAGTGCAGCTGACTTCTATGTTTTGCTAACATGGCTCCTTAATGGAAAAGCAATGAAAACAAACTTCTCTTCAGAAACAAAATACTTATTTTGAATGTTTGAAATATGCAGAAGTAATACCATAAGTAATACAAGCAGTAATAATTCCAACACTAAAAAAATCATTAAAATCTATTTCCCACAAAAATTAATAAAGCAGTACCAGATATAATGTTCTGATTCATCTGATTCAATATAGACACTATCATTTGGTTTCAGCCTAGGATAAAATTTCAATATAGTAAAATAAAATAGCCAGGAGTATTATAAAATAAATTTTTAAAAGTGCAAATGCTATTTTTGTAAAAATGTGTAGAAATGGGAACCAATTATACCCTTATTGCTCTGTTCAGTCAGATTGCCATTACTATGCCATTTATGTATTTATAACAGCATGAAATACAGTATTTTAAACAGAAACGTTCTCCCTCCTACTGCAGAAATATAAGGGCCTAAACCAAGTCCAAGATGGACTTCTGATGTCAAATCAAGTGAATCCTTGTCATTCCATCAGAGTGCCCAGATGTACTATTACACGTTTGCATTCTGATGCTTTTCTACAATTGATTGAAATTGAAAGGTATTGAACCATTTAAATGTTGTTAAAGCAACCTGAACAACAAAACACTTCTGTTCCACCACAACCATGATGGGAACTGGGGTGAAAATTCGGCGTGCTCTTTTGAAAGTGTCTTAGAGGAATGGGTCTTATTCTGAACACCTTTGTATACCCAGGTCCAAATGCTGTCTCCTATCTTTTGCCAATGTTTTCCTTACTTTTTTGAATTTTTGATTGTTGTCTCCACAATGGCCGTTTTCGTGCTCAACAGAAGGTAACTTGCTAGTCAGAAGGAGGCCATTAGCTAACATTTCTGGAGGTTGGATCACAAGGCTGCCTAGCCAGGAATGTTAGAGGTATGCAAAAGCTTAACTGCTTAGTTGTTTCCTGGCCTGTACTCGTCCACGTGAGTTAACTGTGTAGTGAAGTATTTTTGGACATTACTTAGAAGCTTTCTGCCGCTTTAAGCACAACAGCGCACCGGTAATTAAGAATCACAACGATACCACAGACATTCAGCTTGTCCCGCTTTCCTTGTTGTCTTTTGCCTCATTGTCCACAGGTTTGTCTGGTGCCCTTCGCAGCTTTGAAGACCAAATTTTTAAATGGAGGATGAAAAGCTGTGCACACCAGCACGTGCAGCAGTTAGTGGGAGTTCTCCACAGTGCCCGGTGTCTGTGCAGCACCCACCATGTTCCAAGAACTGCTCTGAAATGAGCTAGCAGCAAAGATGAATCCAGCATGGAGTTCAAGCTACGCATTAACCATGCGCTGACAGTACAGAGAGCACCTGGGAACCTGGAGGTGCCCTGGTAGTACGTTATATTGCCAGCTACACATTCCAGCTCTGGAAATGTTGGGAATGAAATAAAAGCAGAAATCACCACGTGCCATTGGAGAAAGTCCCTTTTGCAGCATAGCACAACGGTGATCCAAACAACCAGCGGTTTATAACAGATGAGCGCTTCAGCTCACACAACTGGGGAAAAGATCTTCTCCTAACAGGTATCTTTCAGTATTTCCTGAACTGAGGCTTCTCCCAGTCACCTTTCCAGTCTGGATCTGTAACTGAATTTCACTGCAAAGAGTGAAAAAGGCTATCTGCTTTCAACTCCCATCAAAAGAAAAACTAAGTGCACCTGGTCATGTGCCCTGGCACAATATTGTGCAGGTTCCCAGTAGCAGCACACAAAGATTCCCAGTGGTGATCCCCCTGGAATGTCCTGGGGGGGCTCCGCAAAGTGGGAAGTCATTCTGAGAACAAGCACAGCCACTGTAAGAATCCCATCTCCTGGTGTTTCCAACAGGTAAACAGGCAGGAGAAAAATGACAGCTGGTTTCGGAAGGGTGCGATCTTTGTCTGAAATGTTCTTTTTTTTTTATTTTACTAAGAGAAGATTGATTATGAAGCTAAACATGACAAACTCTTTACAAATGTGGCTCTTCTAGAATATATTCCAGCATCTACGATGGAAAGCAAAACCTAGTAATTCTTCCAGCTTTCCAGGAGCTGAGAAAAGGTTGCTTCTACATAGCAGTATATCTGAGGAATAACTCACAATAAAAACTGAAAATGTTTTCATCTAAGCTCCTTTGGAAGTGGTGTTATTAATCATCGTACAGTGTATCTGTAGACTTGAATGGTACCGCTATGGGTACACTGCAACAGTCAGTACAGGAGTGCTTAGAGATAACACATGCACAGGATTCTGTCTTTGTAAAAAAACGTAAAAAGAAACCCCTCCACTGGATAAAATACTGACATTCAGTCTTCCAGAGGAGTATCACATTGACATGGAAATACTTAGACATCTGTGAGAAAGCCAGAATTTTCTATTTTTGGTTCCTTCAAAATTAAAACAGTCTTCGCAGATGTTTAGCATAGTTATGGCCTATGGAAGGGATTCAACCTAGCCATTTCACACATGAAATTTAAGATTAGTAGGGCGTGTATGCACTACGCAACGTGCATCTACAAAACACAGCAAAATAGGTAATGACAGCTAAATGTAAAAGAAGAGTTTAATCCAGCTTCAAACTACTGAAAATGTTTATCCCACTTTATAAGCACATGCAAGTATCTCTAGCTCTGCTGATACGGAGATGCTGTCATGTGGTTATCTGCTGATAACCACCAAATTTTTGATGTTCCATATCAATATGGATATGGGGCAATAAAAGTAGTTAGGATTTGAGTTCTGAGGGAGGGACTTCTCCTAATTGCATAGTAAAGAATCATGACATAGTCACATGAAAATCAGTCCCAAAGTCGAACAGATAGGAAAAAAGCTCTTCTTCCAATCCTCACTTTTTCAGTTACATAAATCCAATCTCAGAAATGACCTATACTTCTAGCCTCATCTCTAGGCACACTTGATCTCCAGCTTTCTATCCACCGACAACTGTTTTCCTCCTCATTTAAATATTCAAAATTTAAGAAATGCAAAGCTTATTTTCTTTCAAAACCATTTCTCCTGCACAGATAATAAGGTGTCTAATGAAGAACAGCACTCTTTAATTCTCATTAGGCTGCTAAATCTACTGAAAGTAACCAAGAAAAGCAGAACTTGCTGTTTATAAACACTTGCTATAAGCACAGTCTAGTGCCAAATTAAAAAAGATAGGAAGAATGCTTTTTTTTTTTTTTTTAATTTGGTGAAAATCTCATCAGAACTAAATGCTCCAAATGGAAGTTTTCATAGAATAACATTTTAAAAGACCTGTTTTTCTGCTTCTTTATAGAGCCAGCATTGATCAGCGGGACTTAGAATAGCATTATTCCAAGAATAAAACAACATCCTAACAAAGTACAAAATTATTGTCAGCATTCTAGAATTTGCCTGTCATGTGGTAAGCAGAATTGGGTGGACATATATTTAGCATACCTGAATAAAAAAGCAGAGCACAATCAGTGTGATATCATCTGCATCAACATAGTTACAGCATTTCAGAAACTGCACACCAAGATCCTACAGTGGCTTTATAGAAGTCACAAGACTTATGTACAACTCCTGGGCCTACAAAAATCACTGCTCTTCTGCAGCTGCAAAATGGATGAACTTCTGCTGTACTACCCACAGGTTCTGCCTACAGTGAACTTGCGTATCAGGTTTGGATTCTGTCATAAAGGCAATGTTGCCTGTTAGCCTAAATGAAAATATCTAAATGCAGGAGCCAACAAAAGAGATAGAGTCTAAGCTGCCATTGTAGTTAACAAAGATCCTTGGTGGAATTCCTTTGATAGGCGCCACTCAGACATCCTGGGAATCTGAGACATCCTTACATGGGGCTTAATGGAGACCTGCATCATTCTGGACCCCAACGCACTGCCACATAGGATACCCCACAACACCTAAAATCACACCAGATGTGTTTGTTTAGGCAACTGAGCCATGCTCCCGTCAAAAAAAATGGTGGAGCCGACAGAGACTCATTTCACCACAAAGATGACACCTACTGTTGTTAACCCAAACAGCTTCCCAGACTGACTACGTTTCCATTCACTGTATCTGCAGCTTGCCACGGGTGTCTCTGGCTGCCACGTTATCTGTTCAACTTCTAAAATAACCTGGTTTGCATAATAAGTCTGATAGCACAGTTTTATTACCATCACTTCTGCTTGCCCACTTACAGGCATGTTTTGGAGAGTTTTTACCTGGTGTGATGCTCTGGCTGAGAGCCAGGCTCGCTGAAGGCTGGAGACATGTCTCATGGTAGACCTTGCTCAAGCGACAGGTGTGAACTAGGTTTCTCTACATTGCCTTCACCCTTCCATTGTGGATCCCCCCTGCATGCTTTATGGAAGCTGAGCTCTGGCAGATGGGCTGTTGGTAATTAGCATTTCAGAAAGGAAGGCTTATGGTATCTTTCCAAGCCTTCTCAAAAAGTCAAAATATTTAATGTTTGCCACCAGCATTTTATGCTTCTAGGGAAAAAAATCTCAAAACCACTGATGAGACAAATTTAGTTGCAGATCTTTTAAAAACTCAGTGATGAAGAGAAAGCTGTAATTACTATGTGTACCACTTGGAGAGTTCTGGGAAGCTCTGGTTTACAGAAAAGATATTTCTGTTTCTAGTTGCCCTGGAAACACTTAAAAAAATCCAGAGAGAAGATTATTAAAGAGAGCTGAGACTGAGGTAGTTAGCTACATGCTTCTTCCTTGGCGTTGGTCTGCCA